AAAAAAAAAACTACAAATTAACAAACAATAAATAAACCCAATATTATAACTTCTAGGAAAATAAAAAAGTAAAATAAAATAAATAATCAAATCTCAATAAATTGCTTATAGTTGAATCGTATTAGAGCTTTACCTTTCAATAATAATTCATCTCATGATATCTATCATATTTACACGATTCTATTGCAAAGTATTTATCCACACTATAATAACAATAACAGTATATTATTCATTCTTTAGCATATTGCTTAATTAAAAAAATGTGGTAATGGACAATAAATAACTAAAATTAAAGCAGAAAAAATCCGTTTATAATGCTATTAGTTTATTCAGAATGTTGCTCAAATACAACTAAGAACAAGCTATAATACCAAGTAGTAAGAAAAAAATGTATAGCACTCAAGATCAAGAATTTCCTGACAAGATTGAATTGAATAGTTACAATTAAAAAAAAGAACCAACGATCTAGAAAATAAAAACTTCACAAAAACACTATACAAAAGCTTAGCTTTACTGCTCTTGCTTCGCATTTCCCAATTAAAACCTTGGAGCTAATTCAAACAATGGCTTCGTTATAATTAATTTTGGTTAGTAATAAAGTTTTTATGTCAGTAACAGGTAGCGTTAAAGCTCTGAAAAGTTCGATTTCATGCATTACGGTTACACAACAATATTACATCACTACGATTACGTACGAATCACCTGATCTCGTTTATATATTCTGACCAATCAAATTATTATGTGACTATATTGAGGGTGACACAATTCGCAATAATCACTGGGTTCAGTGATCTTTAATCTACCCTTCTCGGGTATTCCGAGAATTCGAGAGGATAATCGGAGGATTTTTAGGATGCTGACAATAAGAAAAAAAGAGGGAATACGGCAAATCTTAATAATAACAGCAATAAGAGCATTTCTAGATATAAGGCGTATTTTGTACATAAAAATAGATTGAAGAGTAATTATAAATAAAGGCCCTTTTGGCCTTGGGAAGAACAAAACCCGCCTTTGCTTTATTAATACCCATACAATTCTACAAGTATCCCGAATAAAACACCTAAGTCTGTCTGTCCCTAATAAAACACATAAACTTTGTACATAATAAACTCGAACGACTACTAAGTCGTTATTATCATAGATAATCCCGGTTATCAATACTAGTAAACTACCTAAGTTGTATTATTCATGAACCACTCGTCAAATCTAACATGCCTCCTTCGACCCAACGTATCCTAAGCTTTGGTTACACGAAGCAACTTTCGATCAAGCGACAGACTCGCCGATTTCGGATCAGCCCTGCATGAATTCCGAACACATGTGAGAAAGAAAAGCGAAAATACAGAAAAACTGGCTTGTGAATTGATTGACCTTAGTGTGCTAATTAAATGTCGAAAACGAAGTTTTACATACAATTAATGACAGTTTATTACTATAACACCCAATATTAACGTCCTAACCTTAAACTTCTATCCTTACGCATTTAAGATTATTTCCTAAATTTCTTTTTTGGTTTTTTACCGTCACAAATAAGTAAATCCGAAGCTTGTACGGCACATGAATTCGGAGAGGACGTTTAAAACGAAATTCTACGGACAGTGCCTAAAACAGTGCAAATGCATGCAATAGGTTGATTTGTGGTTAGGGCAAATTATTTTAATAGAATCACAAGAATTTGTACTATCTCTAAGGTTTGCTTCTACACTTTAAGAAGAGTTCGCCGCCACTGCCATATTTTAATAATGTAGTATATTAATTTATTACATATTTCATGTTAAAAAATTTTCACAACAATAAAGTACATAGTTCACAATTCTTAATGCCAATATATTACCAGATTCAATTTTATTATATCTATCTTCCCATAATAAGTGTTTCCACGATTTACTAATGCAAATACGTCAATTTCCAATATAATTGATTTTGTTAATTTGTTAAATCTGCAAGTGATTCATCATCTTACATTAGGAGTCCCACAATTTTTCAATGTAAATGCATTATGTTGTCTACAATATTTATAATAATTTACAAGTCTATTAATTGATTTTTTATATTTACCCATAATACGATATATTTCACTACTCTTTCTTAATTAATGCTTTATTAGATTCAATTTCTGATAAATACCACGCAATTGTGATACACTATTACTTAATGACAAGTTTGGCACAGCAATTGCTTGACATAAAGTTAGGGATGGCAAATGGTTTAAACCGATCTTTTAAAAATCATTTAATATGTCATGACGTAATAGTAATCCGCATAATCCAAATGTATAATATTATAATTACTAAAGTTTTAAAAAAAATCTCCGAAACGTTGCCTAATGTTTGTGGAAAATCCCAGTTAAAAGGAATTCATTTAAACTTTATAAACATGATCAAACAATACCTCGCCAAAAACGTGATTATTGCGAAGAAGCTGTGTTGATTTAGGTGACTGATTAAAAGGTATTTGTTAAAATGTAAAAAAAAACTTCCAAGAAATATTTAGATTTATTAAAAACTCAAAACTGAATACTGGCTCTTCAAATAATTCATTCGCAAAAAACCTATTCAATGAGTTTACATTGTAAACCTTGGACTTTCAATACTAACAAATGTGAAACTAATATATAATGAAAGGTTGATTGACCGATAAGTAAACTTCGTATTTAAATATGTAATATTTTGATAAAATTATAGCGATCAAATATATCTTTTTTTTTACGTTATATCTATATATTCTGAATCATAAAGCATCGGCTTTTTTTAATAAAAAAATTTCTTGCTGAAAATTATTTTAACCAATCAGAGGCAATTAGCGTCAGATGTCAAGGTCTTAGAATAAGTTTTAAAACAATAAAAGAGTTTAAAAAGCCGTTTAAACGTTTATTGCGCAGATTTTCAAATATCCTTTTCATGCTCAATTGTACTATGCTAATATTATATCAGTATCAAAAGTTACTTTAACCGGAAAAAATCATCACTTCTTGCTGATATTAAAAACCTTCTTTTCGTCCGTAACAGTATCTGTAATATCTCTATAGTATATTCTAGTCTTTGAAAGTTGCCACCACCTTTAGCAGTTTTTAATACCACTTAAATGTTTTGTTTTCATCCGTAGTACCTGTGTAATCAAGAGATTGCTACAAAACCAGACTTTAACCTATTCTAAGATTACATTTTTCATTGTAATTGCCACATTTAACAGACTTAGGCCGTTCTCAAGCACCTCCCTCAATGTAATTGGCTAGTGATTGAGATGATGCTCAAGCACTACTATCAATTGATATAAAGATGATGATCAATGCTTGAGCTAGCTCTTTTTATTCTTCTATCGATTAACATTATGTCTCCAAAAAAAACCAAAAAGGCGACTACTAAATTAGTACCTAAACCTTTAGCACCCAAACCTTTAGCACCCTAAGTTTTTCATCTGAAACTTTGGTTCCCGAAACTTTTTCTCTAGCTATTCGTCCTTTTAACTATTTTACAAATAACTTATCACCGCAGCAACAGCCATATTTGGCTACACAACAGCCATATTCGACTACACAATATTATATGAATCCTTCGAAATTGAATGAACCGACATTGAGATATAATGAAACAGTAAAAATCATTATTTATAATAAAGTACAGATTATATAAAATTAAATTAATTTTTTTTTTTTTTTTTTTATGATTATTATTATTTTTTTTTTAGACTTCATTTTCACCGCAACCATCATTTATTATTCGTGATCAAGAAAATTTATTTGGCTCTGTAGCTGTTAGACCAAGTTCTTCTACCTCTCCTAATATCCTTGGTTCAACATCAACAATTGCTACTTCTGATTTATCAGCAAAATTATCAAATTGATGGTTATCATTTGAAACACGAATGCTTATCAAAGAAGTAGGCAAGCAACAACAAAAATTACAGAGGGTAAAAGATCTAAGAGAAAAGAGTTGAATTTGGAACAAGATTATCACTAATATACAAACCTCTGAAATTGCAGGCTTAGTTATAAAAGAACATACAAAGGCATCGATTCAACAAAAATAGGATTCACTTCTTCAAAAATACTATGACATAAAAGATAGGATTCCAAGCACGGGTGAAGAACCTGTTTAGAATAATTGGGAATTTTTTAATGACATTGATGAGTATTTAAGAAAAGATCCTAGCATTACTGTATCTATCACAAGCGATTCACTTTATAGAGTTAAATAAAAAAGTGTTAAAGACCAAGATGATGATGAGGTAAAAAGATTTTTATTTTTTTTTTTTAACGTTAAAGGTGAGACCATGCTCTTATCTTTATTAGACTTAATGAAAACTTTTTACATAATTGAAAAAGGTTTTATAGTTTAAGACCATTGCTAAGAATAAGAACTCAGACATATAACTAAGTAAACCTAGAAACTTATCTGTGGCCTAAACCTACCAGAGTGGCCAAGGCTCACCTAGATTTGAGATAAAGTAAAAATATATGAAGGGTGTATGCGATATTTGATCCAGTTAGTATACCAAATGGAAACTTTAGAGGAAGAAACTTGTAAGGTATTGCGTAAAGAATCAGCTATAGATAGGGAATTAGATATATTTGCTGATGATGTAGAAGGTAAGGTATTTACAGGTTGGGGTTGAGGTCTTGAACTAAAGTAAGGTATCCAGATATTGGTATATAGTTGCTTATTTTTTTTTTTTAATGTTAAAGGTGAGATCTTGCTCTTATCTTGATTAAATTTAACAAAAACTCTTTACATAGTTAAAAAAAAGTTTTATCATTTAAATCTAAAACTAAGAAAAAAAACTCAGATATATATCTAAGTAAACCTAAATACTTATCTGTGGCCTAAACCTACCAGAGTGGCCAAGGCTTACCTAGATTTGTGAATAAGTAAAAATAAGTGAAGGGTGTGAAGAGAGTTTGATTTAGTCAGAGTACCATGTTGTAACTTTGTAAAGAGTATTAGATATAAAAGAGTCAGAAGAGTTTTCCGAGTGAGAAATTGAAATTGAATTTGAGTTAGATAGGAGGGAAGAGTGAGAAGTAGTGTTATTAGTACTAGGAGTGAGATTAGATTGTGATCTTGAAATACAGTAGAGAATCCAAATATTTGTATAGATTTGTTGATTTAGATAAAGTAATAGTTGAATAGAGAGAAAGCAAGCAAATTTGTTAGAAGAGGTATATTCACGTAGTGTATTAATAATATCAAGTAGAACCAAGCCAGAAAGTGTAGAGAACAAGGATAGTTTGTATGCGAAAGAATGGATTTGTAGGCTGTCAAGATTTTTAATTTGGTTGAGAAGATGAGATACTTCGGTTTGTGAAATTTGAAGTTTATTGGGAATTAATATATGTTGTAAAAATCTTTTGTGAAGAATATGTGGAGATAGAAGATCATCGAGTAGTAATTTTATTCTAAATATTTTAAGTGTAGATGATTGAAAACTATGAGAGAAATTTGAGATTTTCTGGTTATTATTAAGGTACAGCCAAGTAG